GCAGACGTAAAGGAGGCGAGGAGGAAGTCGTGGGTAAGGATGATAAGATTGCGGTTGAGCTGCGGGTATGATATTTGTGATGGGCAACTATGAAATCTAACGAGCATTACGAACCACGGTTGGGCAGGATACACATGTCTGAGTACCTAGGTAGGCGACGGGGCACCAGGTTTAAGAGGGGGGCATTGGGATGCATGACGGATCTAGCATGGATTTCATTGTGCTATTTACGTCTATCTGATTCGGCTAATTAAGCAATATCTGACACGTATCACAGCAGTGTGGTTGCATACCTCTTGATCGCCGTTTCTTCTCCTTCTGTGGTATCATGGATGATGCAGGACGACTTGCCCGCTTGATTTCTTACTGGATCACAATCAACATACCCGAACGCCTTCATATCAGAGGGTATTTACTTGTGTAAACTAGACGTGGATGTAAGCACTTCGTTTTGGATCTCGGTCGTCAACCCCTTCTCCGATGAAGAAGGAATGATCTTGTATAGTTTAACGATACACTCCATCATAGACAGCAGCTTGACGTCAGCTCATCTCCGAGTTCGAGAGCCTACTTTTGGCCCTAGGAACTGCTCCTCGTACCTATTTGAGCAGTAAAAGCATCTTGCCCCGAGTCTTCTGATCTTGCTAGCCGAGGACATTCAGCCGCTTCTTTAGATCTGGAAGTAGATGGCATCTCTCCATAACCAAGCTAAATAGAGAAATTACTCTTTCACCCGCTCCCTATGGCCTCGACCATCTCAAAGAAGGTTCTTATACATTCTCGACGCTCCTTTATTTTTTCATTGTTCCACCTTGAATATGGTAGAGGACGATCTGGCTGTTGGGGGGTGCTGATTACATCACTTGACTCTAGTTTGAGAACTCCGGTGTGTTTTTAGGTCTTGACCAAGTACGCTTAGAATTCATGTTAAGCCGACAACCATACCACCATTCTCCATGTGTGGTCAAGACTTCTATCGAAAATTGAAACAGTAGAGCCTTAAATCTCTGAAAGCCATCACCTAGTATTTGAAGCAACGCGGCCGGAAGGAACTCGCCTCCATAGTGCCCTTCCAAATCAAGCCAAAGAAGGTATCACAAACGACCTCTTTTATCTCTACCCCTAGAATGAGCACGTTATAGCGAATGGATTCTGGGTAGTCGGCCTGCGGACAAGCACACGGCCGGCACGACATCGCTCCTGCCACAGTGGGGAGCTTCAGTAAACCCTCAGGGTATGCCTCATAGGAGGTCTCGCGCCTTCTCATCCTAACAACAAGTACCGGGCCTGATGGCCGAGGGGTGAAGGCCGCGAAGTCTTAACTAGTCCGTGATGCTCCGGAATATTTCTGGGCTCCGGCTTTCATTCCTCGGTGGCTCCTGTTGTTTTTCCTTTTTTCGCTTTTTGACGAAAGGGAAGATTTCCTAAGGCCTATATTATCTCGCATTAGAGCAATATAAGTATTTCAACTATATCGGAATATTGAGCAGTCGAGTTGGATAGAAGAGATTGATAAGACGGAAGGAAGGTGGTATGGGCCGGGTAATCGCTCCTTCCTTACCCAGCCCATACCATCCCCCCACCTTCCAATTCGGAGACGTGGATGGACTACGCCCACCTCCTTCTCCCACATAAGTACTCAAGTTAAGAAATAGCATAAGGTATTATAAGATGTTGAGTCTTGCCCCGGCCAGAAGGATGCCCTGATAACACATACACTCATAGCTTGGCATGTTCTAAGCTGCCCTAGATAGTGGCATGAGAAGCTATTGGCATTCTAGTTAGGTAGAAAATATTAAAAGGGTGAAGAAAGCAAAAGCTTAGGTGCTCAGTCCGTATATCGAACTGAGCCCCTACGAAATCCTCCATCCGTTGACTTCTCGAGATTTCATACCAAATTCTGTTACTAACGGACCAGGGCGTTATACCGCTCGACCATGAGGATCGATTGGGCTTGGTTGAGGTAGGAGTGACCTCAACCTGATTATGAAGCAGGCGCCCTGCCCGGAGGTCTGATTGAATCATGAAGTATGCCAACTTTCCGGACCTTACTCCTAATTGTGGTTCATGTGCATCCCGTACCTTCCATATCACTCACAACATCCTCCTTTTCGGTCAGCAGCCTGCACCTAGTGCCTCCCAGAACTGATACATCTTCCTACTCTCAACACCAACAGCGCAAAATTCGATCTCGGAAGTGAAGATATACGACACCTCGTCAATCCCGAAGCGGTTTCCTCGGCGCCATATCCTCAATAAACCCAGACTTTTGCACAATATCCGACGCCTGCGTGAGCTTCGACTCAGGCTTCAGCGGTCACTTGATGTCGACGTCATCCAACGGAGGACCATAGGGACTACCGTCGCGCTGCAAACTTCACACCAGCCTGTAGACTACACGACAGCACTCTGGCCATCGCCCACAGTCACAGCAACGCCGAGCCGAAAAAGCGCGAGGGTGTCGTTAAAGGGACCGTCGCCTACTGACGTAGCATCGGCTTCGAGGAGGTGCGTGGAGGAATGTTGCGCGCGTATAAGGTGAAGGCCAATATTGATGGAATCTAAACAGGAAAGTATCTCACCCCCCGAGGACGCATTGGTGGGGACAGTAGTCGCAATTGGGAGGTTTTGGCCTCTGCATCGTCGGCGAGGACGTTTTGTAGGAAACAGAAGGCGAAATGTAAGGACATAGTTACTTGCGAGATCAAGATGGAAAGGCTCAAGTAGATTAGGGAGAAAGAGAGGAAAGAGTGGCGAGGGTGATGGACGAGGTTGATATCCAAGCTGCCCATGTGTCCCCTTTGTGCCTATTCTGATGGGAAGTGATTTTCGTGCCTCCACGACGAATAGCCTCGAAAGCAATCTCCCAGGAAGAAGTAGACAGCTCGTAATTACGCAGAGACCTCAAAATCACCGAGAGCACCTTGCAGCTTAATGACCAAGATATCATAGCGCTTAGCGAGACCCCTATATATAACGACGACCTCAGGCGAGCGAGCTTCGTGACAATCTAGTACTGAACCGCATATGTGAGCGCCCAACCATGTCCTAAACGGAGATTATGCCCTATACCAACTATCAAGTTATCATCAAGAGCGCTATTTCAAACACTCAGCTCTCCATCGACAATCAGGTCAAGAAACGCCACGAGGGCAGACACCTAGACTTCTCACTTTGAGGTTCTTCAAGTTCATCCAGCAACTTAGAAAAGCGTGACTAGACCACACCCCCTAAACTTCACTCGAGAAGGTCCGCAAGAACGAGTGAAACTATTCCTCGCCTGTGTTTGGGGGATGTTCTTCAAAGACTGGGCTCAGTTGAGCAGAACGACCAATGTCCACGCCTCATGGCGGTGGCGTACGAAGAGAGGCCGTTTTTCGTGTGATGTTGGCAGGATTTTTCTGGCGTACTACAGAAGGTACCTTAGCCAGTTCCAAGAGTCAAGGGCTCCTGCGTTAGGCTCATTCTGCTCTCAGTCTGACAGAGATAATTCGCCAATAACCAGGGCCAGACCTCGTCGCTTATATAAAGCCGGTATAGCTGGGAACGGGAAGGGACTCCTCAACCAGAGCACCAAAACAGCCGAATCCATTGATGACCATGGGCCAATAATCTCTTGACCCTGGTAGATCAAAGCCTTTGAGGAAATCTTCGGTCTTCGTTAGTCTAGGAAGCATGGTTCAGTCTCCGCAGACTATGTACTGCCCAGCTCTGGATGCACTTCGGGGCGTATTCTGACATGTAACTACAAAAGGTTAAAGAAGGAAGGCGGAAAGAGAGCACCTTAAACTAATATATAAAACTGGCACGCGGTTTATTCTTATAAATAACTATATGGCCGATTCCAATGTCTTATTAGGAGATTAAAGTTTATTGGGACATTGCGGTAGTCTCCTGCTTCGGTCCATTGCTCTTGGATATATAGGTCGACATTTATATATGCGTACACATCACGAAGACGGATCAAGCAGAGGACCTAAGTCCAAGCAAATACTGACCTCGCGCTCGATCAAGGTAGAATCCACAAGATCTCGGGGAGCATTACAATCACCTTGATCGTAAGCTCGGGGGTGTAGTCAGCCCCTAGATTCGTTTCCATCGCAGCGCTTACTCGCAGCGCTTGTGCTCAGGAGCGACCGAGGCCGCTATGAGTGAAGCCGTTGCTGTGCTTTACGACGACCCTCTTTGTTAGGCGGCCTACTTTGTCGCTACGAGATAAGCCCGGAATACTCTTCTCGAATACGTGACGGGACAAAGGTATATACCCCCCCCCTAATCTCATTCCTGTCATCAGCAACAGCAGGCGCCCCTCTACGTCGGGGGGTCAGGACGAACTGGCTGGGTGGTGGAATGGTTCAATGTCAACAATTCATTACGCCCAAAGCCTACTCGACGACAGGCTACAAGTTCGAGTTCGATTCCCAGTATGAGCACCAAGAGATGTAGCCACACCGGTGGTGAACTCTTTTTTGTCCTTCAGACCCGGATTCCTCGGGAGGTAAGGTAAATCCTCCGCGAAACACTGATGAGTCCGTCGAAGGCCATACGTAGATCGCACTTGAATATGGATGGCCCCGACCAGCAAAAAAGGCCAGCGGCTCACGATGGCATCGCGTACTGTTGAGGGACGAGGCCAGCCAATCCCGTTACGCTCGTTATTGCATCTGAGGCGCCAATACTGCTCTGGTCTGTTTGATGAGCGTCGCGACGTAGGAGGGGCAACTAGTGTCCGGTGCGCGAGGACGTACCTTGATCAACCTGCCTCCGAGGATATCAGAGGAACCATTGGCTTTGAAGGAACCAGAAAACCTGATTCAATCTCTGACTCTGCTGCCTGAAATCTTCGCTGCTGAACTATCGCGCGGCAAATGGACCGATTACTAGCAACGCCGAAGGCGTGGCAAGAGAAGAGCATGATTGTCGTCTCCAGGGGCGTCTACGCAGTCTTACAAGTCAAGTGAACAGTCTCTTTCGATCGATTGCATAAAATATTAAGCGCGATCCTTCAGGTTGAAGGCCATGAGATGGACGACCCAAGGCACACGGGAGCGACAACTCAAAAGCAATTGGTCTCTCAACATCAAGATTCAACCTCTTTGAATCCTCCACGTCGCGTTTATCGTTGACGTCCAACGGAAGGGTTCGCAAGACGCCATAGACGCACTAACACAACACACCGCTTGCATGGACCAACACGAGTTGAATGTGCCTCAGGGCAGCAGTTGACGAGATTGTGTGGCTGCATACTGAGCATGGGCGGCGAGATGAATAACCGACTCCAAATATTTGCGGCGTGCAAGCTGGCGTGGATCTGGCAAATGAGGTGCTAGGGAGCTTGCAGGAAACAGGCGCGAAGGATTCGATCTCTTTTGAACCAGCGAATAGAACAGGCCTTGTACTGGCGCTTATCACCACAGTTATGATTCTAGACCATCCACAAACAAGGAGTTCAGAGTCGGCAGATGGTGAAGTGGGCAATAAGGTCGGCGAGTAGGATGGCAGACGGAGTCGGGGTCTGGGAGGCTGGGAGAGGTGTCCCGGCCCATGATGTCTTGACACGGAGACGGTGGTGGTGAGGGTCGACGACCGGGCCGCGGCCCAACGTCGTACTGGCTGGAGGCGCGCGCTGTATGACAGCCGGGTACGGACTGGGGCCGGAGCAGAGCCCCCTCTCAAGTGTATCGGAGGCAGGCAGAAGAGATGGCCGGCCACGTCCCCGCTCCTCATAGTTGATGCTTGGGGGCAGATTGTGTGCATGGTCTGCAATTCTCCGAGTCGCTGACGGCCAACGGCGTGGTGGCAGCCAGGTCCAATGGCCGGCATGCTTCATATGGCGCGCGCTCTGGGATCTGGCGAGATCTGGTTGCTGGGCCAGGTGGCTGGAAATAGGACGTATGGTGGTCCTTTGATGGAGAGCGCTTGAGAAGAGATGGAAAGATAGGCTCAAATTGATCGAGGGACTGTCGAGAGTCGAGACGCTGAACGGTGCCGCGCGCGGAGTGAAGCAAGAATTGGTTTTTGAAAACGAAATTTCAATTTTTTGTTTTGTGTTTCTCTTGACTTTGGGCGACTAAGTCGATGTCAAGCAAGTCGCGAACGGGGACAGGCGCTTGGAAGATGAATCGTGAGGCCGAGTAGACAAGAAATGCGTGGATGGACTAATGGATAAAATGATGGCTCAATCCGGCCGACAGTGATGCTGAAAAAAGAAGGAAACTCGTGATCATTCAGCCCATCCTTCCCTTTCCCCTCCTCATCACTCGAAAGCCCCCAAATCCAGAAGTCGAGAGCCAAGCGCTTTCCTTTCTTCCTTCCAACACCGACGCAAGAACCAACAAGGCAATCACACTCGACCCACGCCCTTCCTTCCTTCCTCGTTACAAAATTCTTGTTCTCCTCCCAGATCCCAGTCTCTTGCCCTTCAACCCAGGCCGAGGCATCTTCTTCACCTTGACATCCACCTCATCTCAGATCATCAGGTGCACTCATCATCCACTGGTTGCATCCTACTTCCCCTGTTCAGCTGTCACTCCCGGCCGTATTCATTGCGGCATCAATCAGCTCCGGCGCCTTCTCTCGGCTCCACTGTCATCACGAGGTCTGACGACGCTTGACGACGTCTCTTTCTCGTCTTTGCCTCTTGCTTTTGCCCATCCCGGCTTCATCGTCATCGGACCGAGACGTCTTTTCTTGTGTCCCGTCTTTGTTAGCTTCAAATCTCTCGGTCCATCCAACGAGATTCCTGCTCCGCCTCGCCACACATCACCATCGGGACCGGTTCTCGACACATCTTCCCGGCAGAAGACTCATCTGCAAGATCTGGTGGACGACGTGGGGATTTACAGGTGAGAAAGCGCCCTCGGCCAGCATCCAATCACCAGTCCTAGACACACAGCACTAAGAATAGCCAGCTCAACCGCGGAACACCCTCCGGACGGCTGCCCCGGCCGACTCTTGTCTTCCCACTGCCATTCCGCCTCTTTGACTGGCTACAGTGCTTCTTTGCTAGCGCCCATAAGCAGCCCCGTTGGACCCAGCGACGGACAGCCCGCAACTGCACGACACCTCACCGCGAGCCTCCTCCAAGAGCCAATCACGCCTCTGTATCAGCCTTTCAGACCAGAAATCGAGGCCTCTCCACGCCGGGCCACTGCCTTCTTGATTTTTGCTAGCTCAGGTAGCTTCGCATTTGAGTTACTCGCGCTCTACGATCTCTTCTCTTTGCTTCTCTGCGGCATTCTGTCTCTGTTGCCTCTCCTACCATCCACTGCCTGAGGTGGCTTTGCATCCCCCTCCCCACTTACACGGCGCATCACCTCCACCCAGTGCTGCGAGTCTTTGTAGCCTCCGCTTTTGGGACGATACTAGATACCTATTTACTGGACGACTACGCTACGACTTACAGGTGCCGGTTACCTTTGCTAGCCAACCAATCCTAATCGACGAGACATCCGTACAAAGCAACATCGTCATTGCACTACGCCACTACCTGAGCCTGCCTTAGCTGACTTTGCTACCCGACACCCGACTAATACCTTGGACCAAGGCTCATCCAATAATCACACATTCATCACACTTACCGGGCGAGAGGCCACGAGGCATCCACGATCGCGCGACGGGACAAACGGTGATCCTAGCCATCCGCCGAACGCCAACCGCTTCCTCAAACCAAGCCACTCCCATTGGCTTGTCGCCTTTTGACGCAAACAACCGGAACGAAAAAAAGCCAGTCTACCTTATTCCATCACAGCCAACAACAGCTTCGGGCACCGTAGCAGAGCGCGGGACGAAGGCCAACCGCTGTGTCAGTCACAACCCAGAACAAAATTTGCCCGCTTTCTTTTGGCGTGCAACGAGCCGGTTCGTCCAAAGAAGGGACGCCAATAGAGGCAAATTAATTGCTGCGGCAGCAGTTCATCGACCCCCTTGTCCGCTTTGGCTCTTTCACTGCCCTGACAGGCCCCGTTCCCGTCTCTGTCCAGTCTCTCTGTTTCGCTGTCTCCTGCAGCAGGCTCAGCACGCACTAAGGCAGTGAACACCACACACCACACGCGCCCGCGCAACGAATCAAACCGTCGTCTGTTGAAGCTCCACGACCAATCCCAGCTAATCCACCCGCTGCTTCCCTGCCGCTTTAGAGATACCCCGGTCACTTCAGTCTCTCTCGACTCCCGCGTCCGCTCCTCTCTATTGCTGTCCCGTCCTCCCCACCACCACGACGCCCTCGCTCTTGTTCGTGTCTACCGCTCTCCTCGACGCTCCCGCCGCGCGCCACTGCTTCCCTCTCGTTGGACCATCTGTATCCGCTGTCACCAACACATCACGACTCCTCTTCACCTCACAGAATCCTTCACGCGCTACCGCAGCCTCTTGGTGCAGGCCTTACATCCTCTCTGTTGTTTGTTTCTCTTCAAGCCATCCACCCCTCCCCCTCGTCCGCGGCATCTCATCACCAGACGCCCCCTTCTTCACCCCTCTCCCAACTCTGCCCCTCCCTTATCCAGCCTGCCGACTTGGAAAGACTGACATTTTGTCTGCCTGCTTGTCTTCCCGCCCAAACTCGAAACCCATTCCTGGCGAATAGCACTGGCTTGTTATTGCCCACCTGTTCAAGCCCCCAGCAACCCCAGACCAGACTTCCGGGAGCACATCAGCTTCCTAAAACCTTCCATTCTCCTTGCCGCCGTCAGAGCTTGACCTCGCACTGCAGTCCTCTTTCCGGCTCACTTACACTACGACCGCACAAATACACAAGCGCCCACCGCATTCTCTTCGAAATAATATAACGTCCACCCACCCTCGCAACTACCGGTCTCCTCTCTCCCTTCTCTCCCCAGGCGACTTGTCTCTGCAGCTCGTAGGCAGCCTGACTTCCTCCTCTCTCACCACGTCAGAGTCATTTAGTTGACTGGACATCTCTCTCCGCGCACACATTCGCTACTACCTCACTCTTCTCCCGCCTCTCCTTCCGCCTCAAACCATCATGCCCGTCAACAGACCCAAGTTGGCCCAGCTGGCCACGCCCGTCACCAGCACTTTCCCCTCGGAAAACATGTTCTCGGCTTCGACTCCGCTCTCTGCCAGACCCATGTCTTGCAAAGACCTTCCCGTCAAGACACCCATCAGCCCGCCAACAGCCTACACGGATTTCCTCAAGGCCATGTCGCTCAACTCGCCAGCCGCTTTCAAGCCATCAACCTCTGGCGAGACTACTCCCGAGTCCACGCCGGACTCGTTGCCTTCCACCGCCACCAGCGAACAGACAGATATCTCTTGCAAATGTGAACACGAGCATCAAGCTCCGGCTACGGCGCCGGCCATCCCGCCAAGCCCATTCACACATCTGCCAATGTCAGCACCTCCCACCGGCGCGAATTCTTTCCCAAGCCTCAAGATCCCGCCTTCTCCAGCAGTATCGCACCTGGACTCACCAATGAGCGCACGGTCACCTTTCAGCGCCAGATCGGTTCACTCAGTATTCGATTGGGACGCAGCACTGAAGGCCAAGAGGTTGAATGATTCAAAGAAGCCCTCGAGAACTAGCGTGCGTCACATCCGCGAGGTGGTCACGCGGACAGTAACTTACACGCCGAGGATGAACCCCGCGCCAAAGGGAAAGAGGAGGAAGGTGGAATGAGCATCTGGACCAAAGCAAACGAATCCACTTTCACCTAACACAACATCGGCACTACATATCCCGATCTATTTTTTTTTTCTTTTCTACCTACCCTCACCATCACCATCACCATCGCCTCAATAACGTTACCTTCAGCAGAAACGCAGCAATATTTGACGACCTAGGCCTAGCGCCACAAAAAAGAGAAGCAGGACATGTGATGAAGCAGGCTCTTCCCACGCAGGGACTTAACAACGATATGACTTAACGGAAGTAACTTGGCGCACACAAACTGGCGCACACCATGATATGGAGGCAAACGTAAGGGTGAAATCACTGCTTGGTTCATCTCGAGGAATATGTTGCGAAAGAAAGAAGGGAATTGGTTGGTCTTTTGTTTCGAATCATCTACCGGTCCTTGATTGGGAACGGGCCAAACGGAGTTCTTTGGCGTCTCTACGATGCTCATGTTCGATACCAGGAACTATTTGGGTGGGCGGACTTGATTATCTGAATGGAGGGGAAAGGTTGAATGCGTCTTGGAATTTTTGGGAGACGATGGGGGAGAGTTCCACGGGGAGGGCAAGATACCTACTACACAGCGAGCCAGGTAGCCTAATATCAGCATACTGTGTATATCTTACAACTGAGTTCTGTCTCTGAGGACAACTCTTTCACCGCAAGAGCATTTGTGACGAATCATGTGTATGTGTATGTGTTTATTTGTTTATCGTTGCACCGCGGGCATCCTCGTGCAGCGCGGCCGCATCAGCGGCCAGCATCGTGGGTTTGTTATGGACCCGCGCTTTAGCGGGGAGGAGAAGAGGAGGCCGCGATGACCGGCCGGGTGGAGTCGACGAGGAAGCGGGTAGATTCTTTTGATCTCCAGAGTTAAAAATATACCGTTTCCCATGTCTTACTCCCGTTCCTTGAGAGCATGATGTTGATCCCACGTATGGTGTTCACACGTATGGTGATTCCAAGTAAAGAGCCATGACCACGTCCTCGGACATCTACTGACTGCGTCTTTTGCCCTGAAGTGTGTGACTAGGCGTCATAATTGACCATCTGACCGTAGTTTGTCTTCGCTTTCAGCTGGCCGGCCGCTATACCCTTCTTCCCCCGCCTCAGTTTCCGCTGAGGAGATGGAGGATGCCATCCCGTCCGCCTTGTCTTGCCCTTCACCTCATCATACCCGTACCATCCCGTCACACTTTGGGTTTGGTATGCTCTCTCTTGAAAAGCCGAGTTGTGTACCCCTCCCCATCAGATGGGAAACCACGCCAAGCAGGGGGATGCCATGAGGGATCGATGTAATAGCCGTCGATCTTCAGCGGTCCAATATGAGGAAAAAGCTTGGAAAGCGTTGCAATCTGACCGGAGGGGAGGGGGGCATCCATACGGCAGAAAGTAGGCTGGATGGGGTTGGGATGGGGGGTGATGGTTCGGCGGTGATGCGTCAAGTCCCGGCCGGAGAGCGGACATCACATTACAGCACTATAGATGCTGCTCCTGCCACCGCCGCTACTGATGTTGCTGCCGCTGGGGCGTCATCATCCTCCTCCCGCTGCTAGTCGTGGCTTGGTGTTGCAGTCGTGATGGGCGATGCGGTGATGACTGAAGTGTAGAAAGGCGCACCCATGTCTCCCCA